CCCCTCGGCAATTTATTCCAGTGCATAGCCACCCTGACAGGAAGTTTTTCCTAATGTCCAACATAAACCTCCCTTGCTGCAGTTTAAGCCCATTGCTTCTTGTCCTGTCCTCAGAGATCAAGGAGAATAATTTTGCTCCCTCCTTCTTGTAACAACCTTTTAGATACTTGAAAGTTGGTCTTATGTCCCCTCTCAGTCTTCTCTTTTCCAAACTAAACAAGCCCAGTTCTTTAAGTCTTCCCTCATAGGTCATGCTTTCTAGAGCTTTCATCATTTTTGTTGCTCTTCTCTAGACCCTCTCCAATTTCTCCACCTCTTTCTTGAAATGTGGTGCCCAGAACTGGACACAGTACTCCAGCTGAGGCCTAATCCGTGCAGAGTAGAGCAAAAGAATGACTTCTCATGTCTTGCTCACAACATTCCTGTTCATGCCTCCTTGAATGATGTTTGCTTTTTTTCAACAGTGTCACACTGCTGACTCATATTTAGCTTGTGGTCCACTATGACCACTAGATCCCTTTCAACAGGACTGCTTCCTAGACAGTCGCTTCCCACTCTGTATGTGTGAAACTGATTGTTCCTTCCTACGTGGAGCACTTTGCATTTGTCCTTATTGAACTTCATTCTATTTACCTCAGACCATTTCTCTAGTTTGTCCAGATCATTTTTAACGATGACCCTGTCCTTCAATGCAACTCTTCCCAGCTTGGTATCAGTAGAGTCCATTTGAGCATAGAGTCCTAATTTGGTGTAAGGGGGGATGGGATGTAAAAATCAACCTCTCCCAGCTTGTGATCATTAAAGAGCCCCATGGAATGATAAAGTTAACCTAATCTTATGCCCCACTCATATGCCAAGGGGCATAAGATTAGGTTAACTTTATCATATAATTGCATTCTGCTTCCCTAAATATTCTTCGTAAGGGGTATCCTGCCCCTCAGCTTCTAATGAAGCTTAGCATATAGAGCACTGGATATGTTGAAAACACTAGACCTCTATTAAGCCCTGTGAAGGAGCATTATTTTCCCCAAACTGCAAATGGGGAAACTGAGGCAGGGAGGTGATGCATGTTGCCCAAGTCCAGCGTTAGATTGAGGGCCTGTGGATTTCCAACCCTCCAGCCCACACTGCCTCTCAAGATACTGCGCACGCCTAAATGCCTGTGTGCTATAAGGAGACAGTAGTGCCTAGTGGCTGGAATGCTGGCTTGGGACTCAGACCTGAGTTCTGCCTCTACTACCGGCCTGTGGGGGCACTTTGCATAACTTACTCCTCCCCCTCCCTCAGTTTCCACGTCCGTACAATGGGGATCATGGTGCTGACCCCCCCTTTGCAAAGAACTTTGAGATTTACTGATGGAACTTGATGCATGAAAGCTGGGAGTGATTATTACCAAACAAATGCCATGTTCTGTTTCACAGACTGCTGTGAGTGATCTGAAAAGTGCTTTGGGATCCTCCTGGTTGCGAGTCAGGGTAGAAATGCATACACATGCTGCACCGTTCACCCTACACACTTCACAAGGTGCCCCTGTGGGTCCTGCCTTTTACTCCATCGCCATGCAGCTGCCTCTAGGTTGGAACACGGTCGCTGTTTAACAGTGCTCTACAACATTACTCTTCGATTTAGGACAGGAAATGAAGGAAGTTCCCAAATCCACTTGGAACTGCAAGGAGAATGGCAGGAGGTAGACTATAGCTATTCAGTTTGATCAGGACATGGGGTCAATTGTTAATGTTGACATGGGGCCAAGACCTTGGTTTATATCTCAGCCATGAGATGGCACCTTCAGCAGCACAGTGCCTCATGCAACGGGAGGTATCCAAAGCATTGCATCTCCCAGTAGTGCTACTACAGGAGCTCATTGCTTTGGGCAGAATACTGGAGTGTTATTTTTAGCAGGCGTCAACATGGCACGGTACCCCCTAGTGACTCATCACCATGTCCTCTTACACCCTGCCTCTTCCAGGAGGTAGCCTTTGATGTGAATAAAGACATTAACCAGTTAATGCACTACAAAGCCAAATTTCCCCTGCCATTGACCTCCGCATTTGCACATGAAAAGCTATGAATGGAACACATCCAGCCCACTTAATTAGCTTCATTAACACAGGTCCTACAATTGACAAGCACTTCTTTTGCTATTATATCTATATCTATATCTATATCTATATCTATATCTATATCTATATCTATAGCTTGGATTCTGTTATTTTCATTTCAACTCATCTGATGAAGTGGGTCTTGTCCACAAAAGCTCATGATCCTATTTATTTTGGAAAAACTTAAAAAACAATAGTCTTGTGGCAACTTAAAGACCAACAAAACCCGTGGAAGATGGTATCATGAGCTTTCGTGGGTACAACTCACTTCTTCAGATGAAGTTTATTTATTTTGGTTAGTCTCGAAGGCTTTGTCTACACTGCAGAGTTTTGGTGCAAGAAGCTTTCTGCCAAAGAGACCTTCTGCAAAAACTTCTTGTACAAAAGCGCGTCCACACCTCAAAAGCTCATCGCAAAAGCGATGTGCTTTTGTGCAAGAGAGCATCCACACTGCATGGATACTCTTGTGCAAAAAAGTTCTGATTGCCGTTCACAGAATGGCCATCAGAGCACCTGTGCTTTTTGTGACAGGCTCTTTTTGCTCAAGAAACCTGTGTTGATCATCCACACACACTTTTTTGCGCAAGAACTCTTGTGCAAAAAGGAGTTATGTCTCATAGACGGAGGTAAACCTACCCCGCAAAAAGCCCTCTGTTCTGTTGATTGACTAGATTTTCTTGGGACTCTGTGCTGGTTTTTGCGCCAAAACTACCGTTTTTGCGCCAAAACCTTATAGTGTAGACATAGCCTCAGGTGCCACAGGACTACTTGTTATTTTTAAAGTTACAGACGAACACAGCTACCCCTCTGAGACCTTTTTCTTTCTAAGAGGGTCTCTCGTCCTAGGTCTGGGCTCGCCCAGCCGTGGCAAGCATGGCCGCGTTGGAAACAGCTCAGCTTACTGCAGCATAGCTGTACGCTGCACAAATTGGTCTTTAGTACTTCGCTGATTCTGAGAGACTGAGACAAACAGCTTTCTAATGGTAACCCCTGGGTGTGGTATGGAGCAGCTGTTCCGAGCAGCCGGGAGAACGGAACGCAATGCTTGGCTAACAGCTTAAGGTTAACCCTAACGCTAAAGCCCCAACCAGTGCTGGCTCATGCCAGTCCCTCACAAACATATAAGGAAATAATTTTAAAAAAAGCAATGTGAGCGAAATGGCAGGGTCTCTGCAATCCTGGGGAGACTGTTTAGTTCATGGCTCAGAGCCCACAAGACAGCCTGTTAGAGGAGCCAGGCCGTTTGGCTTGAGCTTCCTGTTGAATAAAATACCCTGGGTACAATTTAACTTTTTTTTTTTTTGCTCCATTTCTTTCTTCTTATTGTTCGCCTGCCTTGAATGGGGAACTGCAGGCGCTTTGATAAATGGACTGATAGGTTCCTGAGGTTTCAAGGTAGCTTCTATAAATACCTCTGTAACCTCCACTGGAACACGGCAGAAGTGCCATTTGGGCAGCTTGATTGAAGATCTGCAGGTAGAATGAGAATGGAGTGAGATTTCAGAGCACAGCGGGCCCTTTCTCTCTCTCTTCCCCCCTCCCCCCGACTCCTTATTTCAGCCCATTATGAGCCATGTGAGCAGAGCTGGGTGGAAAAATGCGGAACCATTTTCCACCAGTCAGGGCTGTTGGGATTCAAGCAAAACATTTACAATCCACATTTCAGCTAGGAAGAAAACCCTGGGGGCGAGAGGGCGGGTGAAGATATTCCAACACGGCTGAAATGACCTGTTGGACATGTTGGAATGAACTTGAAACAACTTTTCCTTTGGATAGTTTATTTCGGGTTCAGATGTGCTTGATCGTAGCACCTGGGCCAAAACCAAAATCACAGGGCAATGGTTCACTTGACCCAAACCACTTTTCTGTTTTGAAACATTTGTTTTGCAAAGAAATGTTCAGGTTTATTCTGAGGGGGAGTGAAGCCAGATTTTGAATCTCAGAGTCCTTTAGACTATAGGAAAGTCCCTCCTGGGTCAGACTAGCCCAGTGTTCTGTCTTCCAAAGCTTCAGGGGGAATGAACAGACCTGGACAATTTATTGAAAGATTCATCCCACTGTTGTCCTGTTCCAGCTTCTAGCAGTCTGAGGCTTAGGGACAATCAGGCTTGTGTCTCTGACTATATTGACCTATCCTCTGCAAACTTACCTAATTCTTCTTTGAACCCAGTCATACTATTGTGTTCCACAAAATCCCCTAGCAAGGAGTTCCACAGGTTGACTTTGCATTGTGTGAAGAAATGCTTCCTTTGGTTTGTTTTAAGTCTGCTACCTATTCATTGCATTGGGTGATTCATGGTTCATATGTTGTGTGAAGGGGTAAATAACCCTTCCTTATTCGCTTTCTCTCCACCATTCCTGATTTTCTAGACCTCTATCATATCCCCCTCGATCATCTCTTTTCCAAGCTGAGCAGTCTGTCTTTTTAATTCCTCCTCATATGGGAGCTGGGCCACCCCCCTGATCATTTTGGTTACTTTTCTCTGTCCCTTTCCTAATTCTAATTATTCCTGGTTTTGGTGAACTGGAACAGGTGTCCTGTGCTGACTCTGCCCATGAGCAGAGCTTTGGGCTTGACTCACAGACCTGCCTTACCTGGGACTCCCTTTTCAGCCCCCACCATTCTGCCGCCATTTCAGACTTGATTGGCAGGTGCCGTCGGGTTTTTAGACTCAGAGGGCCCGCTCTTCG